TGGAGTCGGGGCAGATGGGGTCGAAGGATCGCGCCGCATCGCCGATGCATTGGCGATACGGCTCGATGTGGAGCCCGCCTTGCTTCACGTCGACAGCGGCGATGTATCGCCGACGTCGCCGATGCATCGTCGATGCATCGCCGATGCATCACCGATGTATCGTCGATGCGGCGCGATCCTCCGAGCCCATCTACTCGGATCCAAGTTGGGAGACCTCTAAGACTCGTCGGGTGCAGGGGCGGGGTGAGGTGGAGGGGTGGGGGGGCGCAAGAGCGAGGAGGAGGACGAGGGAGGGAGGGAGGGAAATGAGCGAGGGGGTAGAGGCGAGGAGGAGGAGGAGGAGGAGGACCAGAGAGGGATGGAAAACAGCAAGCGATGGAGGGAGTCGGGAGGTGAAAATAGACGCAGCCACCAATAAACGCAGATTTCCCAGGGATTGCGGGAATAGATTAGGCAGTTGAGGGCAAGAGGAACATCCTGAAAATAGGAAAATGTTGGGGAACGCTGGAATGGGTACAGATTTCTGTGCGTCTCCATGGGCCTGGGCCCCTTCAGGGAGCGATGGGCGCCGCCTCCGCCCCGTCTCCAGCCTTTGTGCGAGCCGCCCCTGCCAGGCGAGGCTTTGAATGCTCGCCCAGCTGCTCAAAGATAGAGCCAGCTCTGATATCGGGTGCATCCCAGTCTGAACATCACACATGCTGTTGCTGCTGCCGATGATCCTCCTCCTCCTCCTTCTTCTCCTACTCGTCCTCCTCCTCCTCCTCGCTCCGATCAGTTTTGGGAAGGCAGGGTAGGTGCTGATGGGGAGTATCATCAGAGGGCAGTGTGTACCTCGTCGCAGCCCTCTCGGCCCGAGGGGTGGCAGGGATCACGTGCTTTCGGAAACACGGAGCTGATCGAACGAACCCCTGCTTTGTTTCCGTCGCAGTTTTTCGCTCCCGTCAGCTCGTCGGTTCGCCTGGCGATGCGTGACGTCAGCGTGCTCGCTTTGGCTTGCCTGACCAACTTCGACGCTTTCATGCTCGAAACTGGAGCCCCACCAACCATGAAGGGCCCCGACATCCAGGCATTGTGGTCCACGTCGCCCATGCACGCCGCAGCTGCCCGGCAACATCGCCCTTCTGCCTCCGACCGGGCTCTTCCTCGCCTCGTAGAGCACCGGGTGGATCCAGATGATCACGTTCGCAGAGCGTTGCTTCTGTCGCACCCATTCGCGGCCCCGCCCAGTCTGGAGCTCGATCTGCAATTTGCCATCCATGCCAACGCCTCGCTTGGACCCCGTGTCCGCGATCAACGGCGCACCGGCAGAAATTGCTAGTGCGTCTTGCTGCTGCAGTCCGCCCTCTGGACGACTTCGCTTTGCAGCAACGACATGTCAGCATCGCAGGCGCGCCAGGTATTTCGCCTGTATTTGCAGCGGTGCTCGTCGTGCTCTTGGGGTGGCCTGACAAGGGCCTACCAGCCAGACGTGTCCATGGTTTCGAGATATCTGCGGAGGTCCCTGCTTCTGGCGTCCTCCGTCCGTGCTCCTCGAAATCTGCTGGGCACAATGCGCCCCAACAGCCGTCCGAGACGCTGCGGGGACCAGCTGCCCGAGAGTTCGTGGACAGCATGGAACGACGCATGCGCCCGGGCCCCCTGACGAAGGTCATCTACGGCTTGACAGTGGAAGAGAAATTAAGGCTGGGCTCGCCGACCCATTTGTGACGCGGCGTGAGCTCGACCTTCGTTTTGGGCCTGGTGGCTATCGCCCGTTTCCGCGCCACGCTATTTGGCAAGGCGACAAGTGGCGTTTAATCGATGATGGGAAGAGGGCTCGCACCAACGCCTTATCTTTCTTGTCAGAGACGCTGGCCACTACTCCGCCCGAGCTGCCGCTTCTCATTGCCCGCGCGTTGGCCTTCCAACTTTCTTCGCAAGACGGCCGCTTGCTTCCTGATTGGTTCCAAGTCGTCGCGTCAGTGGAGGATAGGTGGAGGGGGTACCAACAATTATTCCCCACTCGCAGGGACATGGGGTTTGTCGTGGTGGCCCTTCTCCACCCCGCCACGCACGAGTGCATGTACAGCGTGTTGCGCGGGCTGCCTTTTGGCCTGGGGTCGGCGGTGAACCAATTCAACCGGGCCCCGCTCCTCCTCACAGCCGCCGCTCGTCGCTTGTTGTACGTGATTGGCGGGCATTACGTCGACGATAACGTTATCGTAGATTTTGCGCTGTCCAAGGGGGGCGCCCAACAGGCCTTCCAGGATCTCGCGCGCCTGCTTGGTGTTGCGCTCTCGGGCGGAAAGCGCGTGCCACCGACGTCGATGCTGCCTGTCTTGGAGCATTTGAATGGTCTTGGCCGCATCCAGACCGATTCAGCGGTCAGTTTTGAGCCTAAATTAGGGACGCGCGACCGCTTCTTGGAGGAGGTGAACCAAGTTTTGCTGGCTGGGCGTCTCCAGTCCCGCGATGCCGCACACCTGCGTAGTATAAGCACATGGCTCGACACCTCGCTTGCTGGCCGGCCGTGTCGGGGGGCTTTGTCCGCCCTCACTGCGCGCCAGTACTACGAGGACACCGTTGAGATCACCCCGAACCTTCGGTGTTGCCTCCAGTACATATCCTCCGTAGCACGACGCGCTGCGCCGAGGTCATTCGCCATCGCGCACGACCCGCTTCCACCCGTGGTGGTCTACACAGACGCTTCCGCGGACAGTGGTCGGCCGCCGCGTCTTGGCGCTCTGGTGTTTGTTCCTGGACGTACGCCTGCTTGCCTGGTTTATGATGTGTCCGACAACATGTCTGCCCACCTTGGCTCACAGGGCGGCCATGTAATCAACCGGGCAGAGCTGCTAGCCGCCCCTCTCCTGGCGTGGCCCATGCCATCCCTGCTGCAGAACAGGGGCGCGTTATGGTTCATTGACAACCAGGCAGCCGAGGCCGCTTTAGTCAAGGCGGGGTCGCCTTCAGAGTCGATGCGTCGCCTGGCCGTCGTGGCCATGGCGGCTCTGACGGCTCTTGGAGCCAGGCCGCGGTTCGAGAGGATTCCGTCGCCCGGCAACCCCGCAGACGCCCTGAGCCGCGCCGAATACGACGACTCCGCCGCATTGTCTCACATTCGCGCCGCTCGGTGGGAGGCGTTCTCACCGCGCGAGCATCCTGTGGCCGCCTTAGACTTCGAAAATCCGTTCGCTTCGCCTTTCTGACTGGTCGCGGGGCGGGGGAAAACGCAGGCGCCAGGGCGCGCCAGGAACGCCCGCCTTTCAGCTGATCTATGACCATTTCTCATTGGTTAATTTCCACAGCGTTTGGGGGGGGCTCGCGGATTCATCATTCTCAGCGCTGGGCGTTGTTTGGCCGATCAGAGAACCCATTGCCACATGTGGGATTCTTGATGCGGAGTGCCAAGCCCCCCCCGCCACCGCAAGTCAAAGAGCGCAGTTGGGGCGTCGATTCCTCTCGCACCCCCCTTCTCGCTGACAATCGATCCGATCAGTTTTGGAAAGGCAGGGTAGGTGCTGGTGGAGATTATCATCAGAGGGGAGTGTGTACATCGTCGCAGCGCTCTCGGCCCCCGGGCGCGCAGGCGAGGGTTTCGTTTCCCCGCCCCCTTCCCCTTGATGCACCACCTCGTCGGCTGTAGCGCTCATGTTCGTGCCCTGTATGCCGGCATGCCAAGCAGCCGGTTGGGCCGCGACCTCCCCGGGCTCCGTCCGGTCTGGCCTGCCCAGCTACAGCCTGCGACAGTCCTGGGTCCAGGTCTCGCACGGGAAGTCCCTGTCCCCGCGCTCCTTGCGGGGGGGGGTGTTCTTTGGCCGATCAGGGAACCCATTGCCATATGTGGGGTTCTGGGCGCGGAGCGCCAAGCCCCCCCCCCGCCACCGCAAGTCAAATATTGCAGCTGGGGCGTTGATTCCTCTCACGCACCCCTTCTCGCTGATAATCCTCCTCCTCCTCCTCCTCCTCCTCCTCCTCCCCCTCCTCCTCCTCCTCCTCCTCCTCCTCCTCCTCCCCCTCCTCCCCTTCCTCCTCCCCCCCCCCTTCCGTAGCCATGTTGGCCCAGGAGTTTTGTGGCGCGGGGCTCCCCCGCCGCGCAGGGATGCCGCAAGTCCGAGGCAGTCAGAAAGTTTGCTCTCGGCATCCTTCTCGTGAGCTCCCTCAGGAGCACCCGTGGCCAGGCCCCGCAATGGGGGGTGCATGGTGCGCATCGCCTGCGGGTAATTATTGGGATTGGAACAGCCGCTTCTGGAAGCAGAATGGCCACTGCAAGCGCGGCAGCTGGGTCGGCCTCCCTGGCCGCAAGCAGCAGCAGTCGACGTCGCCGCCGCGGTGGTCGACTTAGGAGCAGGTGGTCTCGAGCATCCAGGAGTTGGTCGGCAATGACTAGGGGCTGGGCCAGGCTGTGGAGGCAGCGCTCCAGCGGCGCTTCGCCAGTCGCCCACCGCCGCCGACGCCAGCTACCAAGCCCCCGTCGCTGGCGGCGGCTGAGCGGCTCAAGGCGGCCTCCTTCAAGCAGGAGCAGATCGGCAAGAAGGTCGAGCGCTGCTGCTGCGAGTGGCGACGGCGAAGCACAAGGTGCAAGAGATCCAGGCGCGGCTCGACGACCTCACGGAGGAGTACCTCCAGGCGTCGATGGCGCGCGCGGCGGGGGTCGCGGCGGCGGCGCGGAAGGGCGCCCTGTCCGAGCACGCGCTGCCCGAGCGCCTCTCCCTCAACCTCGACCCGTCTTTCTTCGCCGGCGCGGGGGGCGCCGGCGAGGACTGCATGGCAGCGGCGGAGGCGCTCCAGTCCGCCAGGCGGGCGTGGCTGGACGAGCAGGAGAAGGCTTGCAACGCGCTGGCGAAGGGCGCCGAGATGCGCGAGCGGACTCGGCCGAAAGAGGAGGCCAAGTTCGTCGAGGCGCAGAGGGGGGCCACGCGCGCCCAGAGCGTGGA